CACACACACACACACACACACACACACACACACAGTGTAATGGCTCCTTATTAAGCATGCACGTGGCTGCACATAGGAGCACATACTGCACGCGTGCAGTCCTCCTGTCAGCATTTCTCAAGCTCTCCCTGCAGAAGACCTGGCTTTTGCTGACATAACAAGAAATGCTTGTGCTTTAGGACCTATTGTTGCCCACGGATTCGACAGCCCACAGTCTGCTGAAAGCTAGCAGCAGCAGCCTCCTCTCCGTCACGACTGTCAGAGCAGCGATCTCTGGGAGGCAGAGATGGTCACTTCACTCCCACCGCTCTCCAGCTGTTGTTTTTCTCGACACTGCGCACGACAGACTGAATGCTGGTGTTGCTGAAGATGAAGATGAGCTATCAGCTGTGAAATCCTGCCTATTTTAGGACAAAAACAAGGCGTCTTACATCATGTGTCGGTTTTGCAGTGATGAAATGTGCAGAACTCACGCTGAGCAGTGAGCAGCTTGTAGTGTGTCAGAGCATTAGGAGATATATAAAGATAAGGTTTTGAATGAGTACAATCTTTCCTTTTGTTGTGTTTGTGGTCATGTGTCATTGTGTATGTGCGTCTGGCCTGATTGCAGATCTCGGACGCCCTTCAGCAGAAGTACACTACATCAGCACTGTGGCGGTTCCTGAGTTTGGGCTATGCCCTCATGCTTTGTCCCTTCATCATCGTCCTGGGGGGCATGTTTTTCCTGGCCACCGCGCTCTATTTCCTGGATGACAAAGATAAAGCCGAGGCCCAGTAAGTGACTCGGACTGTTTTTGAATAACTCATCATTATTTCATGTATTATTGAGTCATTCATTCTTCATGTAAGACCTCCAGAAGTTCAAAACAAATCATCTTAGTTGCGAGAGGTTGAGGAGGTGTCAGCAATCCTTGTATTATTTATTGTCAGCAGAGTGCAGAAACATTGGGTTGAGATTTTTTATTTACGCTCGAGTTTGAGGCAAGCCAGGCACACGGCGCCTGAGCGATGCCAAGAGTGGTGCCAACCCGGAGGACCCAGAAAGGCCCCGAGCCAGCAGAAAGTCCCAGTCAGCTGAAAATGCTCCAGAGCTGTTGTAGCCATCAATTTGTTCTCCCTAAGACTTTTACCAGCCTATCCTGCTCATATGTTCATATTTTCCCTCCTTCAAACCCGAGCAGGTCATAGCCTTAAAAGGCAAAAACACACTCGTCCTTCTTCGGCCTTCTTATTTCCTCCTGACTACTTTTTTCCTGTTTTTTTATCACGTCGGCTTACTCCCCTGGTGCCAGCGTTCTAAGAAATGACTTCCTTCCTGCTGAAGATGACGGGCGTTTTTAGACAGGATGGCAGTCTGAAGTCTGTCTTCGCCCGATCGACTTAGTCACGCGTTGTTTCCCAGTGTTTTCCAAACCCCGTTCGAGCTTTTTTTGTCCAGCTTGGTCAAAATAATCACCAGAGGAGCGTTTTAGTGTCGTTGCCATATTTGTAGTCCAAGCTGCCGTTCACGCTGTCGATGTTTCCTCTGTGAAATGTTAATATACGGTTTTAAAGAGCTCTTTTTAAAGACATACATCACTGCTGTGGCTACGAAGCCACGCTGCGCTTCTGGTGGGTTTACTCGAAGAAGAAAGAGTCACACTCTTGCCATTGTGCCAGTAATAGATACGAGGCTGTGGCCAAACATGCAACCACATTATTGCAGATTGCAAATGTTCACTCAAACTATGTCCAACCACAAGCCCTTAACTTTCACGTGACACTGTTTAGGTCTAATGCTGCAGCATGTGCAGAGCTACACACTACACAGACTGGAGGCGTGTCCTCATACAAATACTTCACATGGTGTATGGAAGTTAGCATTAAGGTCACTTGGACTCAACGCCAGTACAGCTTTAAGTCTCCCTGCATAAAAGACTAAAAGAAAAAATGTTTAATCAGTATGTAATAAATCCTTATGCTGCAGTAATACGTGTGAGTATACAGACGTTACACAGACACTGTGTAGGAAGAACACCATCCACACCCACAGCCTGCTCCTGTGGAAAGCTGAAGCATAAATAAATGACTGTGAATCCACTCGATACAACAGCAAACGCAGCGTTCATACCTGCGCGCTACACAGCAGATTCGTGCGAAATATCCCATCAGACTGAAACAGCAGCTCTTATGTAACAAACAGCGAACGGCACCTCGGGGACCGAGAAAGCTCACAACACGCACAACTTTGTCGAACGAGGGTTGTTCCACGACTCGGCTATTTATAGATCCCATTCACACTATAAAGCCCCAATTTATAACAGCGCTCTGCACCCCCGTCCTCCTCCTCTGAGTGTGTCCTCAGACACTCTGAGCTATTTATAAAAAGCTGAACTAACTGAAGTAACTCGGGAGAGTGCGGCTGTCTAATTTCTGCCTTAAACATTGCTTCATTATTTCTAGGTTGGTAGCTTTTGGCTGCAGGGTTGCCATTAATAGCTCCAGTTCATTGCACACACACACCCTTCTCGCACACATTTATCCAGTCCACATCTACACTCGCTGATGTGTGACAGCAGATCTGTCTCAGCCGCCATGACTGTGAGCTTTGATCGAGCGTGGGTTCCAGCAGGCAGGCGGTACGCTGCAGCTCGGTGAGAACAGGATGTGGACATGATGGAAGTTAGGATGAAAACGTGAAGAAAAACTGAGGATTCATAAACATACAGTGAATTGTGTGTTTTTTTTAGCGAGATGCTAAAATGATTCTTCTTTCTTCAGGTGTAACCAGGCAACACAGCCCCCGTCTTCAGTCAAGGTATGACCAGGTAAATTGCCTTTTATCCTAAAGACACTTTCAGCAGTAGTAGTAGTGACAGTCTCAGCTCACTGACGTTTACAGAGCTCCCGTCTCAGTACCTGGCAGCGCTTTTCATTGGCAGACACCTAAAAACAAGGATGAATGACACGTTAACCTGAGGCCACGCAGAGCTTTACAGCAGTGCAGGTGATAAACACGAATCCATTCGGCGTCTACTCGGGCGTTCAGGCGTTCTTTGAATTGTGGTTATTTGACCAACTACTTGGCATCTTATCAGGACCTGAGGTGCCTTTCCTATTTCCTGCCTTTATCACTCGCTCACACATGGTGCAAACCTCCCTAATTATTAACTCAGCAGAAAAGCACACAATAACTGGCAGCAAACCAGCAGACTCTGCACAATGGGGGGGGCACAAGAATAAACTTTGACTCCCTGATTAGGAAGACAAGAAAATCTGCCGCGACTTATTTGTAAAGGTTATCATGTACAGCTGAAAGGCCGGGCTTTTACTGTGTTCTTTGGAGCCCTGGCTGGGTTTAATTGACCTCTAAATATTTATCAAACTGGTTTATGTACACGAAACGGAAAAAACTGCCAATTGATGCTTGTAATTTTGGCTTTTTTTCACTACCCGCCATTAATAATCTGTCTGTGTGAGCCAAGGTCCCGTCTGCTGGTGTAACCAGGATAGACAAACGAGAAAACAAAGGGGCGTTGGAGTTTTGACCGGATGGACAGAGTTCAGGTCAGGAAACAGTGTGATCATGGGCCAAAGTTGCAGCTGCCTGTAGTATTTGAGAGCAACGGTCGATTAGATGGAAAATTTGTCTGAGAGTGCGACTTCACACAGACGGTAGAAAGAATGATCTGCCTGAGAAAACCTGATTATCTGTATGTAGGAAAAGTTGTCCTCTGCTCATCCTGCACATTTTACGAAATAAACATAGAAATTAAAATTCAAAGATTACAACCAATAAGACGCTACGCTGGGGGCACCGCTCAGTTCAGGTTTGCTCGTATAACACCAAGTCAGAAAAGTGTAAAAGCCTCCTTTGACGACAACAGAAACTGTGCAAACAACAGTGTAAATATTCGCCTTGAGAATAAGAATGTTTTCAACAGTTAACACTGAAAGCTGCACCACCGTACGGCATAGCATCACTCACAGCAACCAAATGTTTACTGTGATGGATTACCTATTACAGGTGAGAGCTTGGGAAGCAGATTTGCATGGAGCACTGATGGATGGGAGCCTTGAAGGCAGAAAATCAATCTCTAAATTTGCAGAATGCTTCAGAATATATTCTGCAGAAACATAGGGGCATACAATTTGTATTTAATGGGCTTCCAAATATCGAAACACCAGTGCTGTCCTGTAGGTCCTGCAGCGTCATTCCCATTGGCAGGGTGAGATTAGCGTGCATAGCTAATGACAGGTGACACGTAAGGCTCCGCCGCCTTGCATATTGTGTTTCAGTGCTCTCGGCCTGAGGGCCTCATCACTTCTCTGTCACACGCAGCAGCCAAAGCATTTCGTTCCTGCTGTCAAACGGTGCTAATTATAGAGAACAGTGATTACAGCTGCATGAGGTCAGAGTTGAGTCTGCCTGTGACATTTCTGCAGTACAACCACATTGTTCCAGGTAATTGATTCTCAACAGATTTGATGTGCAGGGTAATCCAGTCAATGGCAGGTAGCATTTCCTCCCTTGGGTCTGATTCAAGATCAATACAGAAAACAGATTACCTGCTCAGCGATGACACGTGTTCACGCTCACTTTGACCGCTGTGTACAGCCGTCAAATAGAAACAGGGCGTCAAATAGAAACAGGCCGACAAATAGAAACAGGCCGTCAAATAGAAACAGGGCAACAAATAGAAACAGGCCGTCAAATAGAAACAGGGCGACAAATAGAAACAGGGCGACAAATAGAAACAGGGCAACAAATAGAAACAGGCCGTCAAATAGAAACAGGACAACAAATAGAAGCAGGCCGACAAATAGAAACAGGGCAACAAATAGAAACAGGCCGTCAAATAGGAACAGGGCAACAAATAGAAACAGGCCGTCAAATAGAAACAGGGCGTCAAATAGAAACAGGGCGACAAATAGAAACAGGCCTTCAAATAGAAACAGGCCTTCAAATAGAAACAGGCCGTCAAATAGAAACAGGCCGACTAATAGAAACAGGCCAACAAATAGAAACAGGCCTTCAAATAGAAACAGGGCGACAAATAGAAACAGGCCGTCAAATAGAAACAGGCCAACAAATAGAAACAGGCCTTCAAATAGAAACAGGCCATCAAATAGAAACAGGCCGACTAATAGAAACAGGCCGTCAAATAGAAACAGGCCGACTAATAGAAACAGGCCGTCAAATAGAAACAGGCCGACTAATAGAAACAGGCCGACTAATAGAAACAGGCCAACAAATAGAAACAGGCCGTCAAATAGAAACAGGCCGTCAAATAGAAACAGGCCGTCAAATAGAAACAGGGCGACAAATAGAAACAGGGCGACAAATAGAAACAGGCCGTCAAATAGAAACAGGCCGTCAAATAGAAACAGGCCGTCAAATAGAAACAGGCCGACTAATAGAAACAGGCCAACAAATAGAAACAGGCCTTCAAATAGAAACAGGCCGTCAAATAGAAACAGGCCGACTAATAGAAACAGGGCGTCAAATAGAAACAGGGCGACAAATAGAAACAGGCCGACAAATAGAAACAGGCCTTCAAATAGAAACAGGGCGACAAATAGAAACAGGGCGTCAAATAGAAACAGGGCGACAAATAGAAACAGGCCTTCAAATAGAAACAGGGCGTCAAATAGAAACAGGCCGACTAATAGAAACAGGCCGACAAATAGAAACAGGCCGACAAATAGAAACAGGGCGTCAAATAGAAACAGGGCGACAAATAGAAACAGGCCTTCAAATAGAAACAGGCCAACAAATAGAAACAGGCCTTCAAATAGAAACAGGGCGACAAATAGAAACAGGGCGTCAAATAGAAACAGGGCGTCAAATAGAAACAGGCCAACAAATAGAAACAGGCCTACAAATAGAAACAGGGCGACAAATAGAAACAGGGCGACAAATAGAAACAGGGCGACAAATAGAAACAGGCCGTCAAATAGAAACAGGCCGTCAAATAGAAACAGGCCGACAAATAGAAACAGGCCG